CCGCCACCTTAGGTGTACGTGGCTGGCGCCTTAGCCGGTTGAGCTATAGGTGCCGAGCCACTCCCAAATTTACTTCTAACTGAAATTATCTTGTTTATTTAATCTCTGGCTCTTGTGTTCTCAAGTCACCTCCACTTAAGAAGGCGAACTCCATGAACACAGCTCACATGCAGAGGAGAATCTGACATATGGGAGACACTCAGTACATGTTTGATTAGTGAATCATCGAAGGTCATTTGAGCTAACCCACTTTCCATACTCCCTCCTAAGCCAGGAGCTTCCTGACCCTTCAGTTAGAGGCCTAGGAAGTGCCACCTTCAGTGTGAAGTTCCTTCCTCTTGCTGTAGTCCTACACCTGAGGGGACAGGAGGGCAGAGGGAGAGATTCAAGCAAAAGGATACACCCAGTCCAGCTTGAGCCGGCAGGAAGGCAGCTCTGAGCGTGTATCCAAGCTGTAGGTGGGTGCCAGCTCATCTGGGATCAGCATAGGCACAGGGCGCCCCCTCAGGAACATTTTCACGGAGCCCTCCTCTGCCAGGACACCCCCAGAGGTCAGGCAATGATATCAGCCCCCATCCCTATTCCCTCTACTTTTCAGGCTTCATTTTTTATTTATTTAATTTAATTTTTTTTTTTTTAGGTAGAATCTCATTCTATTGCCCCAGGCTAGAGTGCTATAACATCATAGCTCACAGCAACTTCAAACTCCTGGGCTCAAGGGATCCTCTTGCCTCAGCCTCCCAAGTAGCTGGCACTAGAGGAGTGCACCACCACACCCAGCTAATTCTTCTGTCTTTAGTAGAGACAGTGGTCTCACTTTTGCTCAGGTTGGTCTTGAACTCCTGAGCTCAAGCAATCCACCAGCCTCAGCCTCCCAGAGTGTTAGGATTACAGGTGTGAGCCACTGTGCCTGGCCATTCTTTTTTCTTTTTTTATCTTTTTGAGATAGTATCGCTCTATGCCCTTGGCTATAGTGCAGTGGCGTCCTCAGAGCTCACTGCAACCTCAAACTCCTGGGCTCAAGCAATCCTCCTGCCTTGGCCTCCCAGGTAGCTGGAGCTATAGATGTACCATGCCTGGCTAAGTTTTCTGTGTTTACTAGAGATAGGATCTCCCACTTGCTCAGGCTGATCTTGAACTCCTGAGCCTTGGCACCCAGCCCAGGCTTCATTAAAAAATAAAAATTTAAAAATTTAAAAAAGTAAATGGAGAAATTGAGGCCAGAGACACAAAGGCCCACTAGCCAAGTCTCATGACCTCTAGCTCTGGCCTATCACCCCAAGCCTCAAGCAAGTCCTTCCTCCTCTCCCCACTCACCTATGCTGAAGATAACTTCTTTGGTTTTGCTGTCAGGAATGGATACAGAAAAATAAAAAAGTTTTAGTAGGCAGGTGAGAAAATGGGAGAAACCACTCCCCTACTCCAGCACTCCCAGGAGGTCTCTGATGAATGGCAGCAGGGCTGAGTAAGGAGCAGAGCGCTGCCTCTCTGCAGGCCGTGTGCTTTGCTCGGTTGATCTTGCAGAGCCTAAGACACAGGCCCAGAGAGGCAGTGATCGCCAAAGATCACACAGCACGAAGTGGCAGGGACGCGATCCTGGAACAGAGGAGTCACCAAGGACCCCATCTTCCTAATCAACACGGTGCTCCCCAACTCTCCCCACCCGGCAGTTCCCCAGCGCCCCAAACTTCAAGCAGCAGGAGAAGCAGTGAAAGTTTAGAGAAGGGGCGTGTCTCCACATTTCTTCTCCCAACAGAAAGGGGTGAGGCTCCCCGGCCTGGGTCTCAGGAAATGGGGGAGAACGAGAGGAGCAGAGGGTCTGTGAACGGGTCTCACCCTGCTCCAAAGCTACTCATGGCGGCGGCTGGCGGAGCTCCGGGATTGGGGGTGGAGCCGGGGCCAGCTCTGCCGCTTCCGGCCCTGGGAGGTGCCCGCGCCGCCGCGCCCTGCCTCGCCCTCCGCAGCTGACTCGTGGAGCCGGTGGGTCCCACCGAGTCTCACCTCCCGGCCTGTGGAGTCCTGATATCAGGCTCTTTTGGGGAGTGGGGATGGGGGTTGAGAACTTGGACTCATTCGGGAGCGCGCCTGCCTGAGTTCAAAGCCCAGTTCTGCCACTTCCCAGCTGTATAGGCAAGACCAACTTCTGCCCCGTTTTTTTACGGTTTTCTTCTTTCTTTCTTTCTTTTTTTTTTTTTTTTGAGACAGAGTCTCAAGCTATCGCCCTGGGTAGAGTGCTGTACTATCACAGCTCACAGCAACATCAAACTCTTGGCCTTAAGCGATTTTCTTGCCTCAGCCTCCCAAGTAGCTGCTTCTTTTTGTGTGTGTGGGGGGATAATAAGAGTACCCACACTTTCGAGGGTAATTGCGAGGGTGAAATTGGTTCGTTCATGTGAAGTACTTAGAGTTGTACCTGACACATGACACTGTTTACGTGTTGGCTATTATTTAAGGAGAGTTAAATGTGTGCCTTTTTTCTTCTTTTCAGACAAGAGTCTCACTCTGTCAGCCTGATTATAGTGCATCAATCAGAGCTCACTGCAATCTCGAACTTCTGGGCTTGACTCTGGAGTAGCTGGGACTGAAGACAGGCACCATCGGGCCTAGCAAACTTTTCCTTTTTTAAATTTTTTGTAGAGATAGGGTCTTGCTCTTTCTCAGGGTCGTCTCAAACTCCTGACTTCAGGTGGTCCTCCTGCTTCGGCTTCCAGAGTGCTAAGATTACAGTTTTTGACTGTGGTGTGACCTTACCCTGGTCTCCAAGCTCTGACCACGACCACTGCAGGCAACTCCAGTCCTGGGTTTTGATTCGGTTCAGATCTTCAGTAGGGCCCCCGCTTCCTAGTTTACCACTCCTAACATTCTTATCACACCCACCTACTCCTTCTTAAGTTGACTCAGTCTCTTAATAATTAATTTCTACCCTCTCCTCTGGGCTTTCCGCTCCGCGAAACATTCTGACCATGTCCACTTTCGCGTGACTCAGTACCAGATTCTCTTCAAGGACTTCAAGCTGTCTCCACCTCTTGAGATTTGACCACGCCCATCATCGACCCCGCCCAACCTTCAAAACGCACCGGGTTCCCCTGGCAGAGACCCCAGACTCGGCTGTGTCTGGACTTCTGGAATCTGACACTCTCCCACCTGGTCTCAGCCTCTGTAACCATCCGTCCCTCATCAACTCCAGGTTCTGATTCTGCCCAGGCTAACAGGCTGGCCACACCCCTACCTCAGATTTCCTCTTTTCTTGCAGAAACTCTGAGGCTTCTACCCTGACTCCATACGTGAGACTCAAAGAGGACTCTCTCACCTTTAATAGCCACGCCCATAGCCTGGCTCCTCCCTGACTTCCTCCCTGACTCACCTTCCTCCTTAGGCCCAGACCATCACCGCTCCCAGAGTTCTAGTCCAGCTCCTTAAACTCTGGTCACGCCCCGGAGGATTGGCTCCGCCCTTCCAGGCCTTCCACTTGGAACGCATCACCTCAAGACCGGTCCCTCCTCCAAGCTTCAGGCACTGTCCCCCCATTCAGAATTAGCTGACCGCAATCTAGATTATGACCATGTGGCCTGGGGCATGATTCCTGATTCCCCATTCATCCCTCTACCTATCTGGGGTCCTGGCTTAACCCTCTGTGGCATGACCCTGCCCAGATCCTTACCCTTCCTTTTTGGCGCTGCAGTTGCTGCTGGAGGATGTGGTGCGGCTGCGGGGGTCCTCACGGCGCACGGAGGCAAGGCGTTCTGGTGACAGGTAACGGCGGCCACTGCAAAAAGGGAGTACAGCTGGGGCCAGAGCCTTCTAGGCCAGCAGAAGTGCATGGGCGAGCCAGATCCTCCCTAAACCCTCGCTAGGGGAGCCCGGGCGCATGAGTCCCTCTTTCTACACACAAATAGCCCCCGTCTCCCACAAGGTTTTGGAAGAGGCTGGGGGATCCTGGCTTCACCTCTTACCTGCGCCCGGAGGTCGCCTCCTTCTTGGGGGAGGATGGAGAAGTGGCATAGCCACCCACACGCCGCGGGGCGCCCAAGCCATTGAGGGGCGTCCTTGTAGGAAGGCCTTTCAAGAGTTGACACACTGAAGAGATGAAGTTAGAGAACAGAGAGGGTGAGCATGAGGTCCGGGCCCTGGGCCCACTCCATCTCACTCCTCCAGTCTAACAAGGATACCGGAGGCGGTGGTGCCTAAGCGTGGAGGAGCCCGGCCCTTGGGGGTGTTTCGCGCTCGCAGAACTGCTCCTTGTTCTTCACAGGCCCGCAGGCGTCGCAGTGCATCTGCCAGCGCCGCCTTTAGGACCGCCAGTTCGTCTTCCTGCAACTGCAGCCTCTGCTCCAGCGCCGACACGCGGTCATCCACCTCCATGCCGCTCGCGGCCGACAAATTATCATCTGGAAGGCGGAGGAACACAGGCTGCAGGGGCCACCCAGGAGCTCCAACGCACCCGGTGTTCCTCGGTCCTTCCCGGGTCTGAGCAAGCGCCAGTTACGCCTCCTTCCTCTCCCGCTACCTGGGGCTGGGACGCGTGGAGATGGGCCACAGATGATGGCTCCGAAGGGGGAAGGAAATCCCCACCGCTCTCCAGCCCTTCCCCACAGTCCTCTCTATGCTGCAGCGCCCTGGTCGTGTGACCTTGGGGAAGTCCCTTCCTCTCACCTTCTATAATTGTTGAAATCAAGAAACCTCTCTGGTTTCAAGATTCTGAGATGATGAACATCTATGAGTGACGCCAGCATTTTAGAGATGACACCAAACTACTCCTAATGACACTAACGTTCTAGACTTAGCCCAGACATCTTTCGACGAATATTCTATCGTGGTTTCCAACGTTCCCTCACAGTTTCTAAGACTTTCCAAGCCAAAAAGTCATGCTGACGTCCCTTTTCATCCGCTCCTCACCCGAGTTCTACCCTAGGGCCAACTGCAAGGAAAGAGCTTCTGCGACCCCTGGCGGCAGACTTGGGGGGTTGCAGGTAGAGACAGAGCACCGCAGACCCAGGAGATCCTAAGAAGAGAGATGCGGGCGGGGATGCCACCCAAACTCTTCCCCATCAGGAGTTCCTTTCTTCTGTTTTGCTTCTTTATTTCACTTCTGTGCCCCCACGTCTTATGTTTGGGTCTCCCCCTTTCTTCCAGCTCATGGGTGCAGTTAAAATCACTCCCCTAGTGCCCCTCGCCCCTCCCATTTTCCCGAAGTAGGGGTAGGCGGAGGACCGGGGTGGCCCCCCTCCTTTCTTCCCCCAAGAACACTCATACCCAGACTCATTTCTGGCCACAGTGAAGGAGGCTCTGGTTCACAGACCGGTGGAAGTAAAGATGGCTCGGTAAACAGGGACGAGGCGTGGAGGTCGAACCTGCCATCCGGCGTCCAAGGGCCGCCCAGCCTGCCCGTGGGCTCTGCAGTGCAGCCACGGGTCCCTCCCTTCCTTCCCCGACCCTCCCCCCCCACCCCGTGGCCCAATCACCTGCCGAGTCTTGCTGGCCCTGCCCCCCCACCCCCAGCGCCTCCCAAGTCCGGTGCTTGGACCTGCAGAGGAGATGGTAGCCTCCGAGGTCAGAGGGAGAGAGCTGTCAAACGTGGAACTCCTAACAGGAGGAATCTCATCTGGGTCCTGCTGACATCACGTTTTGCAAGGACCGAAGTTGGAGGGGTGTGCAGAAACACACAAAAGGTCACACAGCCAGTAAGTGGTAACCTCATTGTGCTAAGCTTCCTCCTACCTATCATTAATAATACTAACAACAACAACAACAACAACAAAATGGTAGCTGTTGTTGTGAGTTTACACGTGCCAGGCACTGCTCATGAAAAACAACACATCTCCAGTTTCATGGTAAGTGCTCAATAAATCCAGAATAGAATTAACCATTTTTATGGTATCTAATGCTTTTGGCAATTCTAGTAGTTGTGATAGTATCATCCATTTTAGGAAGAAAGAAGGAGAAAGAGGATTGAAGCCCAAAGAAGTGAAGTTACTTTACATGGACACAGCCTGTCAGTGGAAGAACCTGTACTCAACCAGGCTTAGGCATCCAATCATCCTGCCTCTTAGAGGGACAGAGGAAGACAAAATGAGCATTTGGGTCCGTTGCCAACTCCAGTGGTCCCTGGCACCATGTGTTTGCCCAGGGGAGTGAGCCTCCAAACTGGATGATGGTTTCTTTCTTCTCGAGGGAATGGGAGGGGGAGTTGAATGGAGGCAATTTCACCTTGACCCCTCTGTCCCCACCCTGAGAGGCCAGATGCATTAAGATGCCTTGGCCTCCCCCATCCTACCCCTACAACTCAGCCCTCTTCTCCCTCCTTGCCATTCCCCTGGCCTCACTCTTTTTGCTGAAAGACCAGGCCCTACTTCCCATTTCTCCTCCTGTCTGCCTTTCTGCCCCCAGCTCCCCTTCCCTGGGCCTGACACTCAAAATGACCCTTCCAGTATCATACCCACTTGTCTAGGGAGAAGGGATGAGTCCTAATGGGTGCGAGGGTCAGGGCCTGAGGATTTGGAGGTATAGTGGGGACTAAGTCCTCTGGCTGTCCTACCTGATCCCATACCCTGCTTTCAACTCAACACTAAATCCCATCCCACCCTCCTCTAATCTGTCTGTCCTTCTGCTATGAAGACTGAAGAGTGTCACAGAAGATTCAGAGGAGAGAGAGGGCAGAATTTCAGACACAGTAGACCCCCCAAGTCTTCCCTCCTTCCAGTCTCAGGTTCCTTCCAATTCTGCCCCCTTCTCTCTGTCTAGTCACCTCGGGGACCAGGGGAGGATCCAAGTGGGTGGCCGCTTGGATCTGGGCTTTGGGGATCAGAGACCTAACTCTGGGGTCAGGATCTTGCTGAGGGGGAGGAAAGGGGATCTTCAAAAAGGGAGGGGTTTGGGGACTTGGAAGAAGGAGGTTGGGGCAGGAAGACAGGGGTCCATCCCTGGGCGGGGCCAAGGTCGGAACTGAGGAAGGGTCTCACCGTTGCAGTACTGCAGCAGAGAGGACGTGTCGTAGAGGCCGCAGAAGGCCGGGCCGCGCTCCGCCATCGCCCCGCCACAGCCACCACCGGCCCCCGCGGCCCCAGCCCGGGCCCGGTCCCCCCCCCAGGCCCTGCCTCCCGTTGCCATAGCAACCCCCTTGGTTCCAGCATCCCCAGCTCAGCTCGCCTGGCATCAGGCGGCCGACGCTGGGCCTGGCACTGGGGTCATCCCCCAGGATGGCCAGAAAGGAGGGTTTGGACACCCTCTTGCCAGGCCCCCAACACAATCCTCGGGCCAGGATTGGCTGCGCCGGCTAGGTACCGTCTGATCCCGCCCACAACGGGTGTGTTCTCTCTAGATTCCCTCCCGCCTGTTCTGAACCAATGAAAGCCTGTCGCTCAGGCTCTTCCACCAATAGAAATGCAGAGGGATTGGAAGGGGCAGGGCTTCTCTGCCTTTCAGCCTGAAGCACAGCTCCCAGCTCTGGAAGGAAGATGAGGTGGAAGAAGACATTCCTCAACGCCCAACATCATCTCCCTAATTTTTCATTGGATTTTCCCAAAACCACTCTTCCCTCCCCGCCCCCTCATGATCAGGCTTGACATTAGAGCCTCAAACTCTCCCTGGTAGCCCTTGTTTATTAGATCTAGACCCACCCCCAGGGCTCTTGGCCCCACCCCCAGAATCTTGCGGGTGCTAAAGTTTGTTTCTGCCCCCAGAACCATTAGCACCGCCCCACTGATGGTCGGAACGTTCATAATAAAGCGTTTTGCTCAGAGCTCTTGCCCCGACCTTCTAATTAATAGCATTAGCTCTGCCCTAGGTATTTAGACCCCCTCCTCGCAAGTCTGTTAGTCCCTCCCTAACCTTCCCTTCCATCTTCCAGACTTCGTCCTCAGGCTCGTAGCTCCGCCCTTAGGGCGCTAGTCTCGCACAACCTTATTGTCCAGTCCGGGTTTTGACAGTCCCAGTTGTGAGGCCTGGGCCAGCTGGTGTGTCAGCCAGGGATGGCTCCGAAGTTATGGGGGAAGAGGGGCGGGTAGAAAGCCTAACAATGGATTTAAAGAATATTGGACTGCCTTCCCCAAGTCTAGCTTGAGAATCAACACCTAGAGATAACCCCAGGTCATGTTTTATAGGCAAAAGAGGTGAAGTTAATAGTGGAAAGAGATTTGCCTCTGGGGATACAGGCAGATATTGGAAGCTTTCAAACCAGACTGACCTGGGCTTGAATCCTGCCTCCACCACTTTCTAGTTGTGTGACCTTGAGGCTCAGTTTCCGCACGTGGAAAGTGAAGGCTCATAATCATGCCTACTCTTTTCATTCATTTAAAAATGTTTACTGAGGGCCAACTCTGTGCCAGGCTCTGTTCTAGGTGCTGAAGTTTCAGGAGAGATCAGATCAGCCTGACACCTACTCTCATGGATCTTTCAGTTTAATGGAATATGTAAACCACCATGCACAAAATAAATAATACTAGCCAGCATTTATTGAGCACTTAGTATGTACCAAACACTCAGTTATCCTCTCCAGAAGCCTTATTTTCTTTTCTTTTTCTTTTCTTTTTTTTTTTTTTTTTTTTGAGACAGAGTCTCACTATGTCGTCCATGGTAGAGTGCTGTGGAATCACAGCTCACGGCAACCTTGAACTCTTGGGCTCAAGCAATCCTCTTGCCTCAGCCTCCCAAGTAGCCAGGACTACAGGTGCCTGCCACAACACCCGGCTATTATTGTTTGTTTGTTTTTTTTTGTAGAGACAGAGTCTCACTTTATCACCCTCAGTAGAGTGCCCTTGCATCACGCAGCTCACAGCAACCTCCAGTTCCAGGGCTTAGGCAGTTCTCTTGCCTCAGCCTCCCAAGTAGCTGGGACTACAGGTGCCCACCACAACACCCGGCTATTTTTCTGTTGCAGTTTGACTGGGGCCGGGTTTGAACCTGCCACCCTCGATATATGGGGCCAGCACCCTACCCACTGAGCCACAGGTGCCTCCCCACCCAGCTATTTTTTTTTGTTGCAGTTCTCGCTGTTGTTTATCAGGACCAAGTCAGACTCGAACCTGCCAGCCCCAGTGTATGTGGCTGGCTCCCTATCCACTGAGCTACAGGCGCCAAGCCCAGAGCCTTATTTTCATCACAATTTTACAGATGAGGAAACAGGCACAGAGCTGATAAGATCACTTCAGATCTGGTAAGTACTATGAAGATGATAAAACAGGGTAATATGATCCAGAAAGATGGGAGTGTGAGTCTAATTTAGAGGTGGTAAAGCCAGAAAAGTTCTCTCTGAGGAAGTGGCATTTGAGCTGAGATGTGAATGACAAGAAGGAAGAAATTATGCCTAGAGTTGGGGTGGGGAAAGCTTTCCAGGCAGAGGAAACAGCTAGTGCAAAAGTCCTGAGGTAGGTTTGAGTTTGGCACATTTCTGGGGGGACAGGAAAAGTAGTGAGGATGAAGCTATGGTAGGAGAAGGGAATGGACATATATGGGGTTAGTGAGGTGATGGGCCTTCCTCCAAATCTTGTAGGGTCTTGAAGGCTGTAAGAAGACTTTTGTAGTTTGTCATTGTATCCTCCATGAGCCCCACGGAGGCCAGCCACATTTGTAAAGCAGACATTAGTATAATGCTGGACACACAATAGGGGCACACAAATGATAGCAACACCTATGAATTTCCCAGTGTACACCTACTATGTGGGGCATCAAAATCAGTGATGGGTTCAAAGTGATGACTAAAATAGCCATGGGCTGTTATCATTCTATGATCACAGCTAACTGTGTTACTAATAGAAGCAAAGCAGGAACTGGGGTTTTCTGCCTCCCAAACTCCTGCTTCTCCCACCCCACAATCCCTATGAGCTCAGATTCCAGGAGAAGGGATGTCAGACTCCTCCATTCATGCTTCTGAAGCAGGCTACAAAGTGTTAAAGGCTGTTCCTGGGGTGTCCCCAGAGGACTGTGGGATCCCAGGGGAGTTTAGGTTCTGGAGGGCTCCATGAGGTAAGGGAGGGGAGTAGAGCCAGGGTATGGATGAAAGAACTACATGGAAGGTGGGGGATGAGTCAGACCCAGCCCTTGCCCTTGAAAGGCTCCCAGACTCATTATGGGGACTAGATACAGTCAGGATCCATGTGAGCCAAGTGACATTGGCCCAGTGGCTTGGCTTTTCCTCATTTACAAAATGAGAGTCATCTACTTCACAGGGGGAAAGGTTTGTTGAGCTCATGCTTGTAAAGTGTTCAGCACAGTGGCTTTTGGGTACCATTAATGGAGCTAATTTGATGACAAGTGCTTTCCCAGGGGATGTCAAGGGCCTGAAAGACAGCGGTGAAGAGGAGGTGGTTCTGTAGAGGATAGGGGTAGGGGCAAGGACAAGGCAGGGCTCCCAGTTTCTCCTTGTCTTTTTTCTCTGCCTCTAGCTTTCCTTCTCCCTAAGTCTTTTCTCTCTGATCCCTGTCTCTTTCTTTATGTCTCTGTCTGAAAGCTGAATTTCTTTCTTTCTTTTTTTTCTTTTTTTAGAGACAGAATCTCATTTCGTCACCCTCGGTACAGTGCCGTGGCATCACAGCTCACAGCAACCTCCAGCTCTTGGGCTTGGGTGATTCTCTTGCCTCAGCCTCCCAAGTAGCTGGGACTACAGTCATCTGCCACAACGCCCGGCTATATTTTTGTTGCACTTTGACCAAGGCCGGGTTTGAACATGCCACCCTTGGTATATAGGGCTGGTGCTCTACTCACTGAGCCACAGGTGCCACCTCTTTTTTTATTTTTTTATTATTTATTTATTTATTTTGCAATTTTTGGCTGGGGCTGGGTTTGAACCTGCCACCCTCAGCATATAGGGCCAGCGCCCTACTCCTTGAGCCACAGGCACTGCCTTTTAGTTATTTATTTATTTTTGTTTTAATTTTTTTTT